CAAGGAGGCCCTGTATCTGAAAGAAGGTGTTGGGCCTCTTGGTGGTGAAGCATGGCTTGTACTGGCGACGAAGGACTGGGTATGGCAGTGTGAACTTGATCTTCGAAGTCTTGGAACCGCCTGACTGCCCTTGGCGGCACACCGCCATGATCTCCACCTTCATCCTCTGGATTCAGTGGGTGCAGCACAGTGCCAGGGGCCCTGTGTCCCTGTAGCACTGGAGGCAGCACCAGCAGTGGTCAGGTCCCAGTTCTCCAGTGTACGTGGTGGGTGCTATTGCGGGAGTTGCAGCGCAGCTAAACGCCAACGTTCTTCACCCAAAGGGGGGCTTTTTCAAACACCTGCCATCATAAGACAATTTCCCTGAAAATTCCTTCATTTTCTTCAGTTGAGACACAAAGTACCCGAAGCTGCACTTAGCAACGACATGGTTAGGTGCAAAGATGCCATGTGGTAGAGGGAGGTGGGAGGTGTTGGGACTCGGGGGTGGGCAGGCAGGGCCCCAGGCCCTGTGCTCCCCCAGTGTGCCTGACGCCTTCACAGTGTTCTCTCCACTTTGGCTGCCACGCACGAAAGGAAGATTTCCTTCATTTTATGGCTGAATATTCCATTGTGTGTATATACCACATTTGCTTCATTCATTTAGCAATGGATATCTAGAGTACTTCCATATCTTGGTTATTATAAATAATGCTGCAGTGGACATGAGGGTGCAGATAACTTTTCAGGTTAGTGTTTACTTCAGATAAATACCCAGAAGTGGAGTAGCTGGATTGCAAGGTAGTTCTATTTTTAATTTTCTTTAAGGAAACTCCATACTGTTTTCTGTAGTGGCTGCACCAATTTACATTCCCACTAGCAGTGCATCAACACTTGTTATTTCTTGTCTTTTGGATAATAGCCATTCTGGTGGGTGTATGTTGCTATCTCATTGTGGTTTGGGGTTGCATTTCCCTGATGATTAGTGATTTCGAGCACATTTTCATGTACCCGCTGGCCATCTGGATGCCTTTCTTTTTGAAAAATGTCAATTCAGATCTACCCATTTTTCGATTCTTTTGCCAGATTGTATGAGTTCTTTATATATTTTGCACCTTAACCCCTTATGGGATGTGATTTTCAAACATTTTCTCTCACTCATCAGGTTGCTTTTTCATCTTGTTCATGGTTTCTTTTGCTGTGTAGAAGCTTTTTATTTTGATGTAATTCCACTTGTTTTTCTTTTTTTCTTTGCTTTTGGTGTCAAATCCAAAAAAAACATCACCAAGACTTATGTCAAGGAGCTTACTGTCTATTTCCTTCTGGTTTTCTGGATTCAAGTCTTTAATCCATTTCAAGTTGATATTTGTCTATCATGTACAATAGTGATGCAGTTTCATTCTTTTGCATGTGGCTATTCAGTTTCCCAAGACCATTTACTGACTGTCCTTTGCTCATTGTATATTCTTGGCTCCGTTTTCATAAATTAATTGATCATATATGGGTGGGTCCATTTCTGGCCTCTCTTCTGTTCCACTGACCTTTGTGTCTGTTTTTATGCTAGTATCATACTGTTTTAATTACTGTAGCCTTGTAATATAGTTTGAAATCAGAGCATGTGATGCCTCCAACTTTGTTCTTTCAAGATAACTTTAGCTTTTCAGGGTTTTGTTTTGTTTGTTTGTTTGCATTTATGGTAAGCACCCATTAAGTACCCTATATTGGTGTATCAATTTTTATCTTTTATACCATATTTTTTGCCATGTTACCTCCTTTATACCACATTTTTTCCCAATATATTTTATTAATTATGCCATTACAGTTGTTCTATTCCCCCCTTCATTCCCCTCCACCCTGCACACCCCCTCCCCCACCATTCCCCCCTTTAGTTTATGACCACGTGTCTCAAGTTCTTTAGATTCTATATTTCCCATACTATTCTTGCCCTCCCCCTATCTATTTTCTACCTACCATCTATGCTACTTATTTTCTGTACCTTCTCCCCCCTTCTCCTTCTCCCACTCCCCTGTTGCTAACCCTCCATGTGATCTTCATTTCTATGGTTCTGCTCCTGATTTAGCTGTCCTCTTAGTTTGCTTTTGTTTTAGGTGTGGTTCTTAATAGCTGTGAGTTTGCTGTCCTTTCACTGTTCATATTTTTTAAACTTCTTTTTCTTAGATAAGTCCTTTTAACATTTCATATAATAAGGCCTTGGTGATGATGAACTCCTTGAATTTGATCTTATCTGAGAAGCAGTTTATCTGCCCTTCCATTCTAAATGAAAGCTTTGCTGGATAGAGCAATCTTGGATGTAGGTCTTTGGATTTCATGACTTGGAATACTTCTTTCCAGCCCCTTCTTGCCTGGAAGGTCTCTTTGGAGAAATCCACTGACAGTCTGATGGGAGCTCCTTTGTAGGTGACTGTCCCCTTATCTCTTGCTGCTTTTAGGATTCTCTCCTTCATTTTAATCTTGGCTAATATAATTATGATGTGCCTTGGTGTGTTCCTTCTTGAGTCCAACTTCTTTGGGACTCTCTGAGCTTCCTGGATTTCCTGGAAGTCTATTTCCTTTGCCAGATTGGGGAAATTCTCCTTTATTATTTGTTCAAATAAGTTTTCCACTGGTGGCTGTTCCTCTTCCCCTTCTGGTACCCCTATAATTTGAATGTTGGAGCATTTAAAGATATCCTAGAGGTTCCCAAGCCTCTCCTCATTTTTTTGAATTCTTGTTTCTTCATATTTTTCTGTTTGGTCATTATTTTCCTCCTTCTGGTCCACTCCTTTGAGTCCCAGTTTCCTTTCCATTACTATTGGTTTCCTGTGTATTTCCCTTCATTTCAATTAGTGTAGCCTTCATTTGTTCCTCTAATTTGTGACTAAAATCAACCAGTTCTGTGACCACCCTGATCACCAGTGTTTTGAACTGTGCATCTGAAAGTTTGGCTATTTCTTCATCGCTTAGATTTATCGGCACTGGGGCTCTGAGTTGTTCTTGAGCCATATTTTGATCTGTTTGTGCTGGTTTGGCTGAAGGGTTCGTTGTTGTCAGACTTCCATGTAGTTCAATTTTCTGTGGTTTGGCTGCGTTTTTGTTGCTAAAACTTTATTGTTTTTAAACTTGGTTGTGTGAGAAGGCGAAGTGCTTCCATCTATGCCTCCATCTTGGCGGAAGTCCTATACCACATTTTCTGTGTTTAGATCTGTCCAGAACCACAAATACTATTGTGTTACAATTATCTACCAGTATTCAGTACACTAACATGCCGTATATGTTTGTAGCCTAAGAGCAAATAGGCTCTACCACATAGCCTAGGTGTGCAGTAGGCCATACCATCTAGGTCTGTGTAAGTGCACTTTATGATGTTTGCACAAGGACAGAATCCATTAACACATTTCTCAGAAAGCATCATCATCAAGTAGCATGTAACTATAGTGACACTTGTACATTTTGTTTTTGATGCCTTTACATTTTAGATGCTTTTGTTCCTTTCTTGCCTAATTGTTATGGTCCAGATTGCTATGTGAAAGCTGAGATTCAAACCCTGCTTTAAAGCCCACTTCTTTCCCAGGTCCTACTGTATGTTCACTGTGTTGCTTCTGGCACCCGTCAGGGCTGAGACTTGAGGTCCTCTCCCTGGGCTGACCAATGGATGGGGAGCCAGCCTTGGTCCTCTTCCCACTCCCCAAACAGGTCATACCAGTTCTCAGCCATGGTGGGCATGTGCAGTACCTCACTCAAGTCTTTCTTTTATTATTTTTCATTGAATTTGCTGGGGTGACATTGGTTAACAAAATGATGTAAGCCTCAGGTGTTATCTAAGGATTTCAACATTTGCTGGGGCTCACACTTAGCTGAGTCCTAACTATGGGGAGTTGGGAGCTTGGCAGTGAACAAGGAGACCTGGACCTGTCCTGTACGGGCCCCAAAATGCAGAGCATGAACACCCGGTCCCTTGTCCAGTCTAACAGCTCCAGTTCACATGCCTTACATCAAACTCAGGAGGCCAAGGCTACTACAGAGGGTACTACTCCACAGGGAAAGGTCAACCCTCCCACCAAAGACAAAGCCACACCACATCAAGCCTATACCAAGCCCCTCATTTCCTATGAATACGCTGTGAGTTTACATGCAGTCTGTTGTCTGCTACCGCTGAACTTGATAGCTACAGGGCATCTACATGGCACACACCCTGGCAGGAAGTCAGAAGTGGCACTTAGTAACTGACTCAGTGAATATGCGCAGTCCTCTTTCAATGCTTCCCACCATGGTGAGGAACAAGTCTCACTTTGATGTGTCTGAAATCCTTCCCTGAAGTCGGCTAATCTCTCTTGAGCAAAATCATCAGGATTTAGGGTCCAGAACCTTTGGTAGGTAATAGTATTCAAGGGTCTGGCAGAAGTAACGCCTACTTGAGTGTGGGTGTAATAATTTATGGTTTCCATTTGAACATTTTACCTAAAATGTCAGATGGTGTGTTTGAATGTGATATTATATTACGGAACTACATGCTTTTGACTTTGTAATGAAAAAGGGGCATTATTTGTGCCGGACCCTGTATGATTAGAATTTAGTATCATTTTCATGGCATTTTAGAATTAACTTATTTCTGTATTCCAGTTTTATTTATGTTTACTGATAACAGTACTTAATAATTCCTGACAATGTGCGCTTAGGATCAAAGACAGTGCCATATGTTTCAGGATTGAGTGACAGGGCTGGGAGTTACAGTTTGAATCACGGCTCTGCCACCGTCTTGGGAAAACCAAAACTTTTTGACCTGCACTTTTTTCTAAGGAAAATGGAAATGCAGGCTGAGATGCTCCTTTGTCCCCAAAACAAAGATTTAAAAATTACCATTTGTCCGGCACACCCACAGTACAAATAAAAGGTCTAAGTACCAAAGCTTAGAAGCAAAGCACAAGACAAAATCACCACAAAGCTGGCTGTTTCATCTCCTGGTTTTAGAAACTGGCCATAGGCCACCTAGGTGAGAAAGTTAGTCTCCCTCTGTATTTAGTTTTTTTTTTAAGATTTTATTTATTTATGTTTAGAGAAGGGAAGGAGAGAAATATCAATGTATAGTTGCCTCTTGTGAGTCCCCTGCCGGGAACTGGCCTGCAACCCAGGCATGTGCCCTGACCGGGAATCGAACTGCAATTGTGTGGTTCGCAGGCCTGCACTCAATCCACTGAGCTACACCAGCCAGGGTGTACATTCAGTTTTTAATGTATTATTACCATAACCTAGCTGTCAGTTAACATGTTCCTTTCCATAGGATTCTGTGTTTTAAAGGTTTCTGAAGTATAACATAACCAGAATGTGTGATTCCATATAGATTTCAAGATCAGAAAATGTTTTATTATTCCAACTCACTTTAACGTCACTATTAATACACAAATGGTAAAAGGAGGTTGTTCTGCAAAGTTTCTCTGTAAAATCCAAAGCCATACCAATGTCAATCTCTAGTTTGGTACTGCTTATAAAAAATGTTACCATTTAGGGGAAACTGGACAAAGGATACAAAGGGTGCCCTGTATTATTTTTCCAGTTTACTCTGGTACTGCAATTATTTCAAAGTAAATTAAAATAAAAATGCCACTCATGAGAATTAGAGTATAAACATTGCAGCTTAAAATTTAAAGCAAAAATCTGAATGGTTTTAGAAGAGCCTGGGAGTTACGTGTCAGAACTAATGCCTCAGTCAGGGGGGCCACAAGGCCCAATAAAAAAAGCTTACTTACATATAAAGCCCATTACTAACTCTGGCAGTGATTAACATTATATGGTCTTGTCGCTTCTCCTCTCCCCAACTCCTAGACCAAAAAGGCTCTAAATTAAACCCTGGCTGGTGTGGCTCAGTGGATTGAGCGCCGGCCTGTGAACCAAAAAGGCTGAGTTAGCTTCAGCGTTAGGAAAAATGTGAGAGGAAGAAGGCTCCCCGATTTTGTGAAAACCCAGCGAGAACACGCCGCATATAATTTATTTCATTCACTACACTTGAGGCTCACTCACACCAACTGTACAAGTTCCGGGCATATAGTCTGCCAGGGCTGGGGGCTGGGTCCGGATCCAGGCCTCACTGGGTTTCATCTCGGGCCCTTCCCATCAGAGACTCGGCCTGGCTCAGGGCCAGCTTGTCCTTCTTTTCCTTCTGCAAGACCTGCTCCTCCCATAGCGCCTGATCCACCTGATCATCGGTGAGCACGATGGGCTGATACTTCTCATCAAAGAGCCGCTCATTGGCTTCCGAATGCAGCTGATGGGCCCCGACAACACGCAAATGTGCTGGCAGGTGAAGGAACTCATCGTCGTTGATGTCGCAATCGCGCATCCGAGCCCCCAGCACCCACCAGCGGCCCAAGAAGCCCACGTCCAAGATCCGGTCTGGGAACTCCGCCCAACGGGGCTGCAGGTAGCGGCAGCGGGCCTGGTAAAGGCTGGCCTGGGCGTCGTAGGGAGCCTCGTACACCAATGAGCAGAGGCCTAGATTCACGTGTCGCAGTCGCCCGAGGCCCCGCAGCCAGAGCAGCTGCTGCACGTACGCTTCGGAGTCGCGGTTTCGCGTGGAGGGCGCCAGCAGCAGCAGGGTCCCCGACGCGTCGAGCAGCGCCTCCTCGAAGGCCTGCTCGCTGGGCGCCAGAGCGCAGCAGGTAGCCGCACCGCCCAGCAAGCCTATGTACAATGCGGCACTGCCGGGCCTGGCCCGCGCCGCCGCCGCCGCATCCCTGCAAGCCTCCGCGTAGTCCCGGAGCAATGCGCGAGCCCAGGCACCTACGGGAAAGAAAGCGAGATGAGAGAGGTCCGGTCGTTGCGGCCACTCCACCCTGCCGCTACTTACCCAACCTCGCCCACACGCCTGGCTTCGCTGCTGCCGAGTCCCCTGCTTCCCCACGGCTTCGCCACCAAAGTCTTTTTAGAGCGGCTACCGCCATTCCTTTCCGGCTTGACGTCCGTTTTCCTAAGAGAAACGACAGATATGCGAAGTAAAGGGCCCGGGAGTCTCATCTGCGCAAGCGTCAATATTGCCGGCAGTGGTTTCCTATCGGAAGAGGATAGACACCGGACCGACGCCGGATGTTGCTGTCCGAAACGAGTCGGATTGACTGCACGGTAGGCAGTCGCGCAGACGCAGAAACCCCTGGCCACGCCGACTGAGACGGACTCAGGTGAGTACGGCGGGTTGAACCTGTGGGGCTGGGGCGGGGGCGGCAGCCGCTCTAAACTCTCAGGTGCGTACCGTTAAGAGCCAAGTTGGGCTGGGGGTGACGGACAGGCTCCGGGCGGGGTGCCTAGTGGGATTGGGTGCGGGCCTGATTGGCTTCTGTCTTCAGAGCGGGATGCGGTGACGCCCCTGAATGACCATGGCAGCAGGCGACGAGCTGGCCTTTCATGGTGAGTGCCCCAACCTACTCCCTCTGCTTGTCAGGATCTCATATGTAAGTCCCGATTTATATCTAACCCGAGCCGCAGGCATCTGTGAATCCTGACCCTAGGCTTGAAACCCAGCCTAAACTCGAACTCCGCTCCAGCCCCGAACTCAGACCTCAAACCTGACACCGTTCCAGAACCAGCCCTCAGTTGCCGTCACTTGTTAGGAGTGAAGGAACACCTCCTTCTCCACTCCCCAAAATTGAGGAAGCCAGGCCCTGAGGTGGGGAGAGCACTGAGGTGGCCACAAGTAGAGTCTTGGTCTCCAGATGAGTAGTGGGCCGAACCAAATTGTCTTGACTTCCCCCAACCAAACATGCGTCCGTTATTTATTCCCAATAGAGTTCGAAGAAGCCACTAATCTGCTGGCAGAGACCTCAGATGTGGCTACCACCAGAAGTGATCAGCAGACCCCAAAGGAGCATGTAGCTGTGGCCGTGGGTTCAGATGGAAGCTATGGTGCAGAGGATGAGGTGGAAGAGAGTGACAAGACCATGGTGAGTTACATAAGTTCCTGTCCCCTACCTCCATCCAGACCCCAGTTGACCCAGGCTGGAAGGGCAGGCACTGAAAGCCCACACTGTGCAGCTTCTACAGGAGGAGAAGCAGCAGCCGGGATTCTGGACCTTTGACTACTATCAGAGCTTCTTTGATGTGGACACTGCACAGGTCAGGTTTGGGAAGCTGGTGGGATGGGGCTTGGAGTCATGCTTGGGGTTCAGCTACTCTGTACTGAGCACCAGGCCCTGGACAGGTTGCTGGAGATACACACGTGGGAACACAGGAGATTCCACCCAAGCTAGCAGAAGTAACTGTGGTGTGCTGTAAGGGCTATGACGCAATGAGTGGGGCTTTGGGGAACCCAGGAGACGTATGATATGGTGGGTTAGAGAAAGGCCACCTGGAGGTGGTGTGGAATTTACTGAGCCTTAAAGAAGGAAAATTTAGCCAGGAAGAGTGGAAGGAAGCATAAGTGTGTTCCAGACACAGGGAACATCATATACAGGAGACCAAAGATGGGAGAAGGCCAGGAACTATCACAGAAGTTACCTGTCACTCTGGCTGGAGTGTGAGAGGTCGAGGAGAGACAGGCAAAAGCCAGGCAAAGTATGTTAAGCAGTTTGGGGTTGTGCTGAGGGTGCTGGGGAGTCACAGAGGGGTATAGAGCAGGAGATGCTTGAATGGAATAAGCAGATGTGCAACATAAAGGTGGATTGGAAGCCCCAGGTTGGGTAGGAGATGGTACTAAACCAGGGCTGCAGAGTAGAGGCCCTATTGGGGAGAGATGCAGGAAGGAAAACGCCCAGGAAAACTTGCTGACTCTCCTTGCTGGGATTGGGAGAAGTAGCGGGGGCAGCAGTCCAGGGCAGCCTAACAAAGAGGAATATGGAAGGCCCCAGAATCCTTCAGAATGGTGGGATGGTGGAACACTGATATATTGAGTGGGGGCTGGCCAGGGGAAGGGGCTCCAGGCCATGGGAACAGCCCATCAGAATCCCAGAGGGACGTGCTTATTCAAGCAGGGTAGAGGGAAGTGGGAAGACAGCAGAAAAGAAGCCTCTAAGGTCAGGAGAGGAGCTTGGCCTCTTTCCTCTGGGGGCGGTGAGGAGCCCCAACAGGCTTCCATTCTGGGCCCACCCCCAGGTCTTGGACCGGATTAAAGGGTCGCTGTTACCCCGGCCTGGCCACAGCTTTGTACGGCACCATCTGCGCAATCGCCCGGACCTGTATGGTGAGTGATGTGCTTTGATCTTCATTCAGCAAATGTGGAGAGCAGAGTCCCTCATGGAGGGTGTGAAACACACACTTAAAGGAGGCAGAGGCATAAAGGGTTGCAGCAGGTGAAGATAATTGGTTGTTTAGAGCACAGGTGGCAAACACAAGGCCCGAGGGCCGAATCTGGCCCTCCACCTTTTTTTTTCCGGCCCGGCATCTTGTTTCTACCTAGCATCAACACTGAGCTCCTTGCCCTAGTTAAGGAGTAGTTACATTTATATAGTCCTCAAATTACATTTGGCCCTTTGAAGGCACCCACGACCCTGATGTGGCCCCCGGTGAAAATGAGTTTGACACCCCTGGTTCAGAGGACGAGAGTTGCTACTTTGCATGGGTTTGTCAGGGAAGGTCCCTCTGAGGAGGATGAGGGAATGAACCTTGTTGGTGTCAGCGCTGGGGGTGGGGAGAGTTAGGGGAAGAACGTTCCAGAATGGGCATAAGCCCTGTGGGGGAACACACCTGAACTGCAAGGCAGCATTGTCACTGGAGCAGAGTAAACTGGTAGGCTACCACGTAGATGACAGATCACACAGACCTCCTAAGGTTTGGTGAGAAGGGAGCTGAGTTAAGTGTTCTTAGGTGCCCTCTGGCTGCTGCCAGGCATGAGGGCAGAAACAGGGAGACCAGGGAAGAGGTGACTGCTGTGGGGGGGGGGGGGGGGGGGGGCTGGTGCCAGGGAGAGAGGAACGATTGGATTCTGGCCTACATCTTGAAGGGGTAGAGCTGACAGGATTTGCTGACCCACGGGATAATGGGATGGGAAGAGAGGAGCCCAGGAGGGCGCCAGTTTTTTTCTGGACTAAGAGAAGCATGGAGTTGCTATTAGTGAGAAAATCTGGGCAGGTTTGAGGGGAAAGAGTGAGTGTGGTAGAAAGGAAGGTGTGCATGTGGAAACATTGAATGTCAAGTCCAAGGTTCAGGGCAGAGATCCAGACACGAGACATTTGGGACCTATTGGCCTAGGGGTGGCATAAAACCCTGAGGTTGGACAAGATCACGCAAAGGGGTGAACACAGAGAGGGACCAAGGACTGGGCTCAGCTGGCTCCATATCGTCAGGTCAGAGAATCAAGGAGGTTAGGAAGTTGTCAGTGACATGAAACAGAAGCCAGGGATGTGGAGTGTTTCTGGGGGGTGGGGGGGAATCAGCTATATCGAAGGCTGTCAAACAGCTGAGAAAGATGACTGAGCCAGCACTAGATTCAACCACCAGGTTGTCAGTGGGTATAAGTTGGGTTGATGGAGTGGTGGGCATGGGGGTAGCCCAGAGCTTGGAAAGGCTAGGACAAAACAGGACAAGTCACCTGTTCTGGAAGCGCTGTGCCTGGGACCCTGACTACGCCCTATCCACAGGCCCCTTCTGGATCTGCGCCACACTGGCCTTTGTTCTGGCCATCACCGGCAACCTGACAGTGGTGCTGGCCCACAGGAGGGATGCTTCCATTCACTACAGCCCCCAGTTCCACAAGGGTGAGCAAAGCAGGCAAGGCCCAGTGTCTGGTGGGGCTCTGGGGTGCCATGGGGCCCCAGGGGTGACTGCCTACCGTGCCTCCCAGTGACTGTGGCTGGCATCACCATCTACTGCTATGCCTGGCTGGTACCTCTGGCACTATGGGCCTTCCTGCAGTGGCGCAAGGGTGTGCGGGAGCGCATAGGACCTTACACCTTTCTGGAGACTGTGTGTGTCTACGGCTACTCCCTCTTCATCTTCATCCCCACTGTGGTGAGTGTGGCCCCAGGAGGTGGGGGCTTTGTGTGCTGTGGAGAAACCTGGTAGCCATCTGCTCATGTTGCCCCCAGGTCCTGTGGCTGATCCCTGTCCCGTGGCTGCAGTGGCTCTTTGGGGTGCTGGCTCTAGCCCTGTCAGCCGCTGGCCTGGTGTTCACCCTTTGGCCCATTGTCCGAGAGGACACCAGGTTGGTGGCCTCTGTGCTGCTATCTGTTGTCGTGCTACTCCATGCCCTTCTGGCCCTAGGCTGTAAGGTACGGGTCTGGGGTGGTCATAGTGGGGCCTCTGGGTCGGTCAGCTTACTGGACCATGATGCTAACCTCAGGGATCTGGGTTCAGCTTTACTTTTTCCAGCCACTGCCTCTGGAGCATGTGACACCTCCAGCCCAGGCCACAGCTCTGCCCTCAGATGTACTCCAGACACCCACTCTGTAAAGACACATGAGAGCCTAAGGCCCGAGCCTGCAGGTGAGATATTGTTTCCAGCTGTGGCTGCGGGGCTTCCAGCCTCTTCCCCGCAGAGTAAGAAGTCACAGAGCCACTGGTGGGAGTTTCTCTTTCAGGTCCAACATGAGGGGACACCTCTGCCTGCCCTGCCCCCAGATGATGACTGAAAGGTCCCTTGACATCTTGAGATGACTCTGCTACTTTCCAGACTTTTCTTACAAAGCAAACACTTTTATTTTCTATGCAAAGGTGATTCAGAGAATTTATATAAAGGCGGGAGAAGGGTGGCTGAGCAAGGAGCTTCCAGTGCAGCCGTCACCCCGTGGGCTTCCTGCTGGGCCTTTCTTCTTCCCCGAGGGTGGGGCGTTAGAGTAGAGAGTCACTCCAGCCTCAGCTGTGCCCGCCCTTCCCAGAGCGCCCAGTGGGCAGGGCCTTGGGCCTAGCTTCGGCTCCACCACATCCAAGTGTGTGTGTGTGTGGGGGGTGTTAGAAATGGGGGGAGCAGAACTAGAAGAAAATTGCCTGTGCTGAAACACTTTTCCTTGTTTATTTTTTCCTCTTTTTTTTGGAGGGAAAGTTCCCTGCAAGGCCCTTTCCCAGGCTGGGAAGAGACCAAAATGTCATC